GCTTGACAAAAATAAATAAAATTAAATTAGAAAAAAAATAAAAATCAAGCTAAAAAATAATAACTTTAGTTTATAAAAAATTTTGTGTGGTTAGAGCGCTTGCTTTAGTAGCAAGAGACCTAGGGTTTGAAGCAAGCTCTGGACATAATTAGCACCACCGGAAGGAGGTTTGAATTTCCTAGTTTAATACTTTTCTGACGTACAACGTGGCAAAACCGTTAGGTCTTCCTGGAACATTTAAAGAAAAAACAAACAAAAAAAAAATTTATTCAAAAATTTCTTTTTTAAATTAAAAAAAAAAAAAAAAATTTATAAAAATTTTTAAAAAACTTTTTTTTTAATTAAATGTTTTTAAAATCTAAATTCGGCTTTCAATTAAATTCGGGCTACATATACGACTTAAATTCGTCTTTCAGTTAAATTCGGTATACGCACATGATCTAAATTCGTCTTTCATTTAAATTCGAGTCTTAAAAGTCTCTCCGGTTCTTAGGTTAGGATGGGCCGGGTTTTAGTCTTTTGGGCCGGGCCGGCTTTTAGGTACAACGTTTTAGAGAACATTTCGTCTGTAAACACACATACTAACACACACACACACATACACACACTTAAACGCACACACATATATATATATATATATATATATATATATATATATATATATATATATATATATATATATATATATATATATATATATATATATATATATATATATATATATATATATATATATATAATATATATATATATATATATATATATATATATTTATATATGTATATATATATATATATATATATATATCGAAGGCTTTTGATACTGTTGACCATGAAATCCTTGAAAAACTAAAATACTATGGATTAAACTATATAACTATAAAATGGCTTCGTAGTTACTTATCAAACCGCAAACAATTTGTTTTTATTAATAACTATAACCAAAGCCATCTACTAAATATTTCCTGTGGTGTTCCCCAAGGCTCTATCTTGGGGCCACTTTTGTTCTTAATCTATATAAATGACTTAAATAAAACCTCAAACTTAATGAGTATCATGTGTGCCGACGACACCAACTTATTCCTGACCAATAATGACATATCCAAACTCTTTTCTACAATGAATGATGAACTCAAAAACATATCTACTTGGTTCAAATGTAACAAGTTAACTCTTAACATTAATAAAACCAAATGGGTTCTTTTCCATTCACTCTATAAAAAACGCTATTTACCCCAACATTTGCCCAAAATATTTATTGATAAAGTTGAAATAAAAAGAGATTTTGTTACTAAATTTTTAGGAGTGGTTCTCGACGAGAACATTACATGGAAACCGCATATAGAATATATCTGCTCAAAAATATCTAAAAGTAACGGAGTCTTATATAAATCTAGATCATATTTAAACAAAAAAGCCTTAACCCAACTCTATTATTCATTTATTCACACCTATATTAATTATGCCAACATTGCGTGGGGAAGCACCGAAAAAAGTAAGCTAAAATGCCTTTTTCGCCGTCAGAAGCATGCGATCCGATTGAATAATTTTGCAGATCGTTTTACTCATTCCAAACCATTATTTATGGAGATGAAAATACTTAATATTTACGAGCTCAATGTTTATAACATTTTATGCTTTATTTACATGTGGAAAAACGATTTAACTTTACCTGTCTTTAAAAACCTTTTTTCTCTAAACCCAATTAATAAATATTTACTTAGAAATAAAAATTTTGTACATGAACCTATTTGCAGAACAAAATTTAACAAATTTGCATTACATTTCGAGCACCCTATCTTTGGAATAAAATTGTTATACCTAATTTTGATATATCCAATACATTTCCGATCTTTAAAAGTAAGCTTAAAAATTTTGTTTTATCTATTGATGATATATTTAAATACTTTTTATAACAATCACGTATTTGTCTTTTTAATTGTAAGACTGTTGTATTTTCTCTCGCCTTTTAAAAAAAGATATGTATTACTGTATTTACTATGTATATATATGTATTTATATATTTACGTTTTTATAAGATCTGATGATATGATCAGACTTTTTATTATATATAACATTAGTGGTTTGATTTATATTTCCAATTTATATCACAATTTATTGTAATTTTATAGTTTTGTTTATGTATTGATTTTAAAAAAATTGTAAAAGGTTCTGATGATAAGATCATTACGATCTTCTTTCAGAAGCCTTGTCTGTTTATCTTTGTAAACAACGACAAAAATGAAACAAAATATATATATATATATATATATATATATATATATATATATATATATATATATATATATATATATATATATATATATATATATATTATAAGATGCGTAAATAATGTGGTAGTGGTGTTGTGGTAAAACAATCGCTTCATAAGCAAGAGGTTCCGAGTTTGATCCCCACCGCGTCCCTGGTAGTACCGCGCTCAATTTGTTTCTCCGCGCAGCGGCCTTGTTCGTCAAGGTTCGTGTTTCGGAGTTATAGAGTTGAGAGAGGGTTATAACCACAATTAAGTAGCCTCCTCGTCTGTAGTGGTCTTCTCGGCTTTGAGGAGGTGAATAACAAAAAAAAAAAAAAAAAAAATTATAAACAAAAAACTTCACAAGCGAGTAGCTTTGTGATGCAGCAAGTTTTGTTTTGGAAGGGAAAAATAGTTAGTGCAGCTGCTAAAGAATTCGACATCAAGAGAATGACATTAACATAATATATTTTAAAACTAAACTCAGGTGGTTACCCTTCCATGGGTTATTCAATGATCAATTTTTTCTCAAGAGCAAGAAAGCGCCTTAAAAAATTATTGATTGAAAATGGCATCTATATTTTACGGCTATACTCCTAACAATGTTAGTTCTCTTACCTATAAGTGTGCTCTTCTATACAAAATCAAAATTCAGATTCTTGGACAATAACTAAGATGGCTGGTAAAGAGTGGATGACTAGATTTTTATGAAGGAATCCTCAATTATCTATAAGGAAACCAGAAGCAACTAGCCTTGGAAGGGCAACATCATTTAACAATGCAGGTGTAAAAGTGTTTTTTGATAAGCTAGGTGAAGTTATGGATATATACAAACTCAGTGCTTCACAAATATGGAATGTTGAAAAAACTGGTGTATCTACAGTTGTAAAACCTAGTAAAATTGTGGCTGCAAGGGCAAGAGAAATGTTGGTTCTATTACATCTGGAGAAAGAAGCACTAATGTCGCAATGGTAACCGCTGCATCTGCCTCTGGAAATACAGTGCCTCCAATGTTTGTGTTCCCTCGCAAAAATTACAAATATTATTTTGTTACTAATGGTTCACCGGACTGTATTGGGGTAGGTAATGGAATTGGCTGGGTTACAGATATTGAATTCATAAATTTTATGTAACATTTCATTAGGCATGTGAAGCCTTCAAATTAATATAAAGTTCTATTAAATTTGAACAATCACTCTTCTCACTTGCATTTTGAAACACTAAACTTAGCAAAGGAGAATGGAATAGTTATGTTGTTTTTCCTACCACACTGTAGCCATAAGCTGCAGCCACTAGATGTATTAGTGTTTGGACCTTTATAAAAGTATCTATCAGTTGCACAAGATGCATGGCTAAAAAACAATCCTGGAAAAGCCATAATAATTTATGATAAAATCTTGTATTTAAGCAATCATACGAAGCTCATTCTGAAGTACGTTTAACATCATATTCAGGTCAATTTGTCAAAAATAGTATTAATAGGAGACAACGTTACTTGTTCCTGGTACTCCATTTTTTCCAGAAACTGTGCCAAAAGCAGCACCAAGAAAGTTTAACGAGGCAAAAAAAAAGGAAAAAATTTAACGAGGCAAAAAAAAAGGAAAGCTATTCTAACAGATACTCCAGAAAGAATTATATTAAAACAACAGCAAACTAAGAAACTTAAAAAAGTTAAGAAACAAAAAAACTTATCTACCTGCCAATACCTTTCAAATATTAATAAAGAGTGTGGTAATAAAAAGACTCAGTCACATCGTTTTTTAAAAAAAGTTAAGAAAAAAACAAATAAAAAAACTGAAAGGAAAGAAATTTTAAAGAAACCAAAAAAAGGTTCTGCTTTTCAATTCTTTTCAGATCATGGTAACAAAGAGACTCTGCTGCTTAGTATATTAAAAAAAGTTAAAAAACAATCAAACAAAAAAACTAAGATGACAAAAAAATTAAAGACAAATGCAGGACACGGTTATGCTAGTCTTGTATGTTGGGAAACATTTTCTAAAAGTCTACCAGAAGAAAATTGAATCCAGTTTCAAGGTTGCAATCAATGGTCTCATTAAAATGTGATTCACATCCTGGTCAAAATTATATTTGTATTAACTGCAAAATGGAAATAATAAGTGTTTAGTTATTATTTTATCATAATATTAACAAGTTTTGTTTAAAAATTTGTTTAAAAAGCTGTGTTTAGTTTTAAGATTAAAAAATTTTGTTTTGTTTTTATTTTAGTCTCAAAATTATTAGCTTTTACATTTATATCTTAAATAATTTGCTAAAATTGAAAGTATATATTTAATTTATAAGGAAGCTATGTTTTAGTTTTATAACAGAGTTAATTGTTGTCACAAAAATTTATTCATTTTTTTATTGCTTAACTTGCCACCCACACAATTGCTCATCTTACCCCGTTAGGGTAGGTTGAGCAGCCAAATAAACTTTAGACTATATTTTATAAAACAAATCGAAAAAAGTTTTTTCGTCTTAACCATTTTTTTAACATATTAAATTATCTTTCTAATAGTAAAAAATTTATATTAATCCGATATACCGTTCAAGAGATCTGTTAGATTTACTAAAAATTGCCCAACTAGCCCCGCCCTACCCTAATCGAACTTTTACTACAAGAAGAGATCATCAAGGTATTAATAAAATGCAAAACAAGTGTATAAATAATATATATTTCTTCATACATATATTTACAACACTGTTATTTAACATAATTAAATAGTATAATGAAATATTTTTTAAAATAATTTTTACAAATTTTTTTAACAAATTAACAATTATTAATTTTGTAAAAGTAACAAAAATCAATTTTGGTCATTAATATCGCATAAGTACGTCATCAGATTAATCTTAAAAAAATTAAATATGACATATAAATAAATATGACATGTATAAATTGAAAAAATACATCACACATTAAAACTGGAAATTTACCTGTTTTAGGTATCCTGTTGTGATATTACAATAACTATTGTTAATACAGCAGTTGTTATTGGTGTTGTTAAGTGAAGTAGGGGAGACCGGGGCTAGTTGGCCGCAGGGGTAAGTTGACGAATTGCGTTTATCTTTAAAGCCTTTCATCAGAAAGTGATAAAAATTACACAGAATCTTCCTAATTGACTGTTTCATCATTCAATGTAGTATTGTCAGGATTCGCGCATGCGCATGGGAGATATTAAGATTTAAGTGTTTTTTGGACAAAAACGTAACTTTTGAAACATCGCTTCCTTTTTACTTTACAAAGAAAATAGTTAGTCAAATGGAAAAAAAATTATTGTAAAAGTTCTAGCCACAATTGGTTTACTATATTCAGTTTGACTTTTTTTAAAAGTTGCCGTTTTTCAGGATCTATAGACTGTTTATTGAAAAAAAAGCCTTCGGGGTAAGTTGACAAAATTTTTACGGGGTAAGTTGGCTCATAGCATTTACTATGGAGAAAAATATTTATTTTTATAAAAATAATTTTTTTAATTTTTTTAATTTTTAACAATATTGAAAAAACTTATTCTTACAAAAAAATTATAAAAATTTTTTTTTTAGGTTTTTTGTAACAGGTAAAAAGAGGGCTGCTGTTTTGGCTGTTATACGTACTAATATTTAGCACAAGCTAAAAATAATATCAAATTATTAGCTTAAATTGTTGCCAAAATTAATAGGTAAAAAATTTCTATTAATTTTGCACTTAATAGTACATTAATAATCACGTTTATAGTTTGCGTCAACTTACCCCGTGGTGAGGTAAGTTGGCGCAATTTTTTTTTTTTTTTTGAGGGCCCCGTAAGGCCCCAAGAATTTTTTTTTGTAAATCCATGAAACTTTTATAAGTTACCCAAGTTCATACGCTTTGAGACTACACTTTAATATTTTCAAAAAAGTGTGCTATTAGGGCTACAGAGCTCATAGAGTAAAAACCGAGCCAACTAGCCCCGGTCTCCCCTAATATATATTATGGAGACAACATTGAAGAAATTACAGTTTTAGTTATATACTACTTTCAAAAAAAAAATTTGTTCGCATGGGCGTGTACAGGATATTTTGATGTTTTAGTTAAAACATTTTCAGGCACTGTGTAAACTCTATATTTAAGTATGTTAATGCCTATGCCAAATGACGAGGCTTTACAAAAAATTATTCAATACATAAAAATAGTTAATATGTTTTGACTAATTATTGAATAAAACATAATTAACTATGTATTCATTATCACATGGCTAATTATATTATCATTATATTTATTGTATAATTAACTTATAAAACGTACCGCAAAACAAACATCTTAATTAAAGTTAAATAAACAACTTAAGTAAATAATATCTTAATTAAACGAATAACCTAATTGAAATTATAGAAGTTTGTTGAAGTTAGCAATGATAAAGAAAACCAAAAGTAAATTAAGTCGAAATGATTTCTTGCAACCTGTATTTCCTACAGCCTGTTTAGAAATAAACATGTAAGGAGTGTACATACATCAACTGACTAAATTGGTAGAACATGCAAGAAATGTACATACATCGTATGTACATTTGGCAAAGGCATTAACATACTTAAGTATATTAATGCTATTAACATACTTAAGTAGCATCATACATTTAGCATAGGCATTAACATACTTAAGTATAGAGTTTACACAGTGCTTGAAAATGTTTTAACTAAAACATCAAAATATCCTGTAGACGCCCATACGAACAAATTTTTTTTTTGAGCAGCCGTGGCGCAGTCGTAGCGCACTTGCCTCAGAAACGTAAGATCCGTGGTTCAAACCCCACCTCTGGACAAGTTTTGCGACATCGGTTGGGAAGGAGGCGTGAACTTCCTATTAAATGCTCTTCCGCGGTGCTTTATGATAAGACCGTAAGGACTTCTTGGGGCACCTAAATCAACATAAAAAATAACAAAAAAATAACAAAAAAAAAGAATGCACATCTGTAAGAAGGCCTGAAACTGTTTTCATAATTGGCTGAAGTAAAACAATCCATATTTATTGTTTCGACACAAACTATCATATTAAATCTTTCATGAATGCATTTATATATCGTTCCAAATTTTGACTTACCCAAACTTGACTATCAATTAGGTAGATCATAGAATCAAAAACCTATTCTGACGTTTGAAGTTTTGTTTAAATTAATGACCTGATAATAAATCATTGATTAAAATAATTGCGTAGCGTAGAAAAAAAAGCATATATTTATAATTTACTTCAAAATATATATGTGAAGTATAATGGTAGACGATAGAATTAAAAACCTATTCCGAAGTTTAAAGTTTTGTGTAAATTGATGACCGGAATACAACAAAATAAGTATAAGTTTTGATTTTTAAACACTTTTTAACACATTTAACTTATTGTCTGCCCAAACCAAAACCCTTAGTTGATTTATGTACACACCCTGCATGTTCTACCTATTTAGTCAGTCGATGTATGTACACTCGCTGCATGTTTTACCTATTCAAGTCAGTCGATGTATGTACATTTCTTGCATGTTCTACCAATTTAGTCAGTTGATGTATGTACACTCCTTACATGTTCTACATATTTAAGTCTATGTGTGCACACATCCTCATTTTTATTATAAATAAAATTTTATAAACAATATAACTTTTTATAAACAACAATCATAGACATTACACATAAAACTAGAACTAAATACTTTAGAATAAAACATAAAAGTACAAACAAAAGCATAAGCGCTATAAGAGAAACCGATCCCTCGTTGTCGGGCGACATAGCAAAATTATAAACCATAAGACCATTATCTTATTATTAGTCAATATCTTAATCAAAAAAGACAATATTTAGGAGAGTTTAAGCGTAACTTTGAAAGTTAAAATTTTCTTCTATATATATATATATATATATATATATATATATATATATATATATATATATATATATATATATATATATATATATATATATATATATATATATATATATATATATATATATGCACACACAGGGCCGTTACTAGATATTTTGGCGCTCCTAGGGAAAAATAGAAATGCGGCCGCATTTGAATATGAAATTTTTTTACCGCATTTTCTCGTTTAGTGTCACAATTCCAGTACTAGTAAAGACTGCTCTACTTATTAGATAAACAATTTTATATTTGTCATTTAATTAATTAGCAACATTGTAGATTTTTGGAACCCGTGCGTCTATTAATTTGACAAAAACATTCACAGGAATATTCTTGTCAAATTATTGGATACACCAACACTGTTTGGCAGTGTCCTGTAAACTGTGAAATGTTTACAGGACACCGTCAAACAGTTTAGGTGCGTATTGGTTTCACTATTTGAGTTAAAAGAATTAATACTGTATATATTGCATACTTTGTGAGAAACAACAAATTACAAAAGCTTACAAGACAAATAAATTCTTGGTAAAGAAATTTGATTTGATTTTAAATTTTGTTTGTTTATTTAACTTCAGTTCTTTCTTTTTATCCAACAGCATAATTCTTGGCCTTTATTTTTAAAAACTCTTTTATGAGATTTTTAATTTTAAAAGGGTTACAAATCAAAATTAAAAGTTTATAATATCTTGACCCTTAAAGAAATTGAAAATTAATCGATGAATATAAATTTAGTTACGTAAAGTAAAAAAAAAAAATCAACTTGTTGCTCTTATGTTTGGGACACAGTAATCACAATCTTTTGCAAAGCATTCTTATTCGACATAAGAATAAACATATAAATGTTTAAATGTTTAAAGCATTCTTTAAACATATAAATGTTTAAATGTTTAAAGCATTCTTTTTAGTGTTCAAAAATCATGACCACACAAAATTAAAAGTCCCTTAATTTGAGAGAAAAAAGGTAGGAGGGGGAGGGTTCAAACTTTAAATGGTCATAATTTTAAAACATTAGAAGAAATATTGCATGACCTTCAAAGTTTCTAGATAAATATTAATTTAGTTAAGAATAGTAAAAAAAAATATTTTATCAACTGTTGCTCTCATTTTACATATAGATACATATATGTTACACAGTACATGGATACATTTATATACACATACATGCATATACATATAAGAATATATATATATATATATATATATATATATATATATATATATATATATATATATATATATATATATATATATATATATATATATATATATATATATATGTTTACATATTTATATAGTATATAAACAGTATATGTATTTGTATATATGCATATATGTATACATATATATGTATATATGCATATATGTATCTAATAAATATATGTATATTAGAACAGTACAAAATTTTTTTTTTAAATAGTTAAATGTCGTAAATATATATTCCTATAGTTTGACTTTTAAATTTACAGCTTGTGTTAAAAAAAGCCTCTTAACGACTCTTTGTCTTTAAAAAAAAAAAAGAAAAAAAAAAGTAAATGTAAAATTGTAAAAAATGTAAAAACCATTAAATTTAATTGAGGAGACTAATTAAATTTTAAATATATATATATATATATATATATATATATATATATATATATATATATATATATATATATATATATATATATATATATATATATATATATATATAATATACTAGTAGTATATTATATATGTATATATTTATTTAATATATGCAAAACGTAGATTGTCATATTATAGTATTTGTGATGCTCTTAATGTAACTTCCTCTAAAAAGAGTTGTGAGCTGTTATAACTTTGAAGCCAATTAAGGCTTGCTTTGAAGCTTTTGATAGGTTGTTAAAACATTTAAAACGAGTTAAATTGTTTCAATAATTAAGTATACCTGATGTGAAAAATATATTTTTACATTAGGTATACTTAATTATTGACACACACACACACACACACACACACACACACACACACACACACACACACACACACCTACTAAAGATTTGACATGACAATGAAAATAACAAATTTAAAATTTAAAATAAAATTTTTTTGAAATTAAAAATAAATTTGTAAAAAACCTTATACTATAAAAACATTTGCTGCAAAAAAATTTATAAAAACATTCAGCTTTTTTTTATTATTGATAACATTGAAAATATTAATGAACAAAAAATACCAACTAAAAAAAAAAGGATATATTTAAAAAATACAAACTTTTATAAAGATGAATAAAAATAAACAATAATTTAATAATAACTAAATTAAAATAATAATATTGCAACTACAAAGAACTTAAAGGAATTTTTAAACTACTATCAAAAAAATCTATAACATGTTTCCAAACTTTTATTTGTGACAAAGCATGTGCTTGAATATTTCTCCCGCCATATTCAACAAAAATTTCTGGATACTCAACAGAAGGTGCACAAAAACAAACTGGCATATATGGAGCATCTACTAAATGACCCATACCGTCACAAGTAATAACTTTGAAGTTATTTGTTTTAGCTGAACTAATCTTATTATTTAGAATTTTAAGATAATGTTCAACATTTACAGAACTATCATCAAGACTCACAACAAATAATATATGACTTTTTGATCTTTCAAAAGGAATTAGAGATTGATCATTTAATGGTATTTTGGCATATATAAAACTTGATACAATTGTGTCATATTTACTAACTTTATAATAAGTTTCATCTTTGTGTACAAGTTTAGGAATGGTGACTCCATTATATTTTGTATCTCCACCAATACTATGAAGACTTCCATTCATACTAACAACAGATTTAATTTGTGGTAAAAATGAAGCCATTGCTAAAGCCACACTTCCACCTTTAGATATTCCATACACTCCAATTGAACTTTTGTTCACAACTGGAAGATTTTGAAGAAACACAACAGCCTCTTCAAAATATTCTATATCTAGGTTGCCATAAACTTTTGGAAGATCATCTACATTAAAATAAGCTAATGCCAATGATACATAACCATTATTTACAAGAATTGCAGACACATCTTGAATTGGCAGCTGCTTTTTAGTTCCCCCATATAATGTAATGACAGCTGGAAATGGACCATTTCCAGGAGGACAGAATAAAATGCCACGAATTCTACCATATTTAATGAATTTCCTGGAAACATCTTTAGTTAATATATGTCTAGTTGCATTAGTCGCACAAACCAATTTTTTGTCAACAAATGTATTAACATGAGAATAGTAAACCTTAAACTCATATTCTAACGGAATGCTTGGATCAGCACATTGCAGTCTATTAATACTATTTGGTTCCTTTATCATTGACCAAAACAACCCCATTTGATGAACACCTGTATATGTTCCTCCCAATGATTCTGTCTTGCTTAAGTCAAAAGAACCATCACTTGAGATAATTATATGAGCAAAAGAAAAAAAGGAAATATTTTCTAGCTTGCTGAATACTGATGCAACTATTGTAACTGTTGATTCGGGTTTGAAGTTATTTCCAAATATTCTTACTGGATTAATAACAAGTGAATCTTTAGGCTCTACTACTATTTGCGGCATATAAGCATTTAAAGGCATTTAAAATTAAAACAACCTTAAATTAAAACAAGTATATGAAAATCTAAACTATATTTTATATTTTTGTCACTAATCAGGTAAACAAGGAAAAAAAGTCGGACCAAACGAAGCAATATACTAATGCGTAACAAAGCAATAATAATGCGTAAAGTAATCGCCGTGAAGATCACTTATTGTGACATAGTGACGAAGCGCGTATTCGACCATGAAAGAATAACAACAAAAAATAATAACTCGACTTTGATCAAAAACGAAACAAGTGAAATTAGTTTATCTAAGTGATTTCACTTTATAATGGCAACTAACCATTAAGTTAAAAGTTGCTTATCATGAAACCAATATTTAAATTCTTCTGTAAATCAATATTGCGAATCCTTTCATAACGTCGTGGATCAATCAAAAATGACATCAAATACAATTTATTGTATTTGATGTTCTAAATGATATAATACTTAATTTATGCTTGTGAATAAAATACTTCAAGTTTCTAAAATAACATTTAAAACAATGGAAATTATGTACATTCTTATGTAACATTGATATAACATTGATGCCGATTTGTAACTAGTATTTTTACTGGGATGTCATTCATGTGATGTTTTTGAACCACCTATGATGATGAAAAAAGTATTTTTAGCTTCTAGGATAACATTCAAAACAATGAAAATTACGTAAAGTCTAATGCAACAATGATGCCGATTTGATCGCTTGTATTTTTACTGGGATGTCATTCGTGTAATATTTCTGAACCACCCATGATGATGACTGTAGTTTAATACATTCAAATCAAATAAAATGTATTCTTAAATAGATTTTACATTTCATGGAATAATTACATATAGTACAAGTACTAATTTTAAGTAAACACCATAATGAAAAACTAAAAAAACATAAACAGTACAATACTGTTACTTCAACACTTTCAAACATTACAAGATTGTTACACTATCAATAAATTATAAAATGATTTATAATTATGATAAAATTGATAAAAAAAATGATGAAATTATTAATGAATTATGAAACGATCAATGATTATAAAAGTTATAAATAAACAGACTCATTGTGCTTACAAATTGGGTTATGAGTTGATTTTTTTCTCGATATTTTTAGGGCATTTTTGTTGTCAGGCCCCGACCACAAAGCATCCTTATTTAACATAAGGAATTTACACAAGTGGTTGTTTACATATCAATCCCACAATTACTTGCGCTACATAAAATGATTCTATATATATTTACGCAAACCTACACTATTCCATAACTACTGCAAGTCCTCACAAAATATTAAATTTTTTACCCTCATCTAAAGTTGATGTTATCAGATTTAGTATTTCAATATCAAAAAGTTCTCTATCACATATTAAAAACAAAACTACATACTACGATTTTTTATTGATATGTTTTATTTCTTAAGTATTACATGTTTCTTAATTACAGGTTGTATTTCTCAATTACATATTACAATATCTTAATTACAACTTTTATGTTCTTAATGAACTCAAATTGATCTTAATCTTGAAATTTTCCATCGCGTAGCGGTGTAACCGCATTGTAACCAAACTAAATCAGTTTAATTTTCAGGAGTTGTTGTTTATATTAGAATAAACTCAGTAAAAAAATAAAAACAGGAAATTAATCTTAATGAAATTGAGAAGTTGTGTCAACCAAAAAAATGATGTTAACGAGATTTGATCAACCGCGGTGTAGAGGCGCTCGATTTAGAATGGAGAGGTGTGAGACTCAATGCTAGCTCTGGTCATATTTGTGACATCAGTATGTAAAAAGATGTGAACTTTTTAGTCAAATGCTTTTCCATTGTGCTCTATGATAAGGACATACCCGAGCAGCTGACTAAGTTATGTCATATTAAAACAATGTCGAAGTCGTCGGACAAATGTGTTGTGCTGATTGGGATAGGAATTCTTGGAGCACCATAATTACCAGATAAAAAAAAAATTGTAAGTAAAACTTAACCATCTTTTAGGATTATTAAAATTAACAAAACTAGTTTCTAACTTAAGTTATTTGAAATAAAAATAACTAACTTGTTATTTTATGCTATCTTGTTACATTGATGCCAACATTCATTTTCTGTTTTAAGTTCGTATACTAGTTTTTTACATCGATGCCAACATTCCTGTTATGTTTTAAGTTAATATGCTAACTTGTTACATCAATGCCAACACTCCTGTTCTGTTTTAAGTTAATATGCTAACTTGTTACAACAATGCCAACATTTCTGTTATGAAAATTCATAGTATTCTATTTTTAAAAATTTATAAACATTGATAGTTTTTTAAAAAATTTTAAAAGAGATTTTGTTATTGTTATTGTTATTAAAAAAACAATAATTTGAATCACTTACCTCGATTTTTATTATTTTTTTATTTACATTGAGCGACAAATTGACAATTTATATTGCAGGACTTTAAAACAAATATAAAAATTTTGAATTTTTAAAAATTTTTAATAACTTGTATGGTATTATTAAAAAGATATGATCTATTTAGAAATTAAAAAAAACAATAATGTTCCTTTTATCTGCTTTTTTGCCGAATCGGCTTACTTACAAGATTAATGTAAAAAAAATTACTAGCCAGCCTCAATTCGGAATCACAATAAAAAAAAGTTCTTTATATGTAAAAAAATCTTTAATAACAACAAGAGTATCAAAAACAAAGTATTAGCTAAAAAAATCTTTCCTAAAAACTTTTTTTTAGGGTTTTTTTTTGTATTTTTAAAATTTTAGATATAAATAAACCTTGAAGCAGTTACAGCTCCATTTAAAATCAATTATACATGTATTTTATTTAGTATGATGTATTTTACTTTACATCATAATGTATATTAAGTAGTATATTAGTATATTAGTATAATAACATACTAATATATATTAGCTCTAACTATTTAGATATCAATCTTAAAAAAAACTTTGAAAAATATAAGCAAAATTATGTTTATTAAAGTAATTGTTCAAGTATATTTACTATTTTATAATAATAATGAAAAAATAATATTTTATAATAATAATAAACATAGTTAAAAGACTTTTCATAAATTATGCTAACAAAATAGGGGAGAGGGATGGGAGTCTGAAAAGTTTTGACAACTATTGACAAGGGGAAGGAGAAAAATTAAAAAAAGTTAACGTCAACAATGTTACTTTTAAAATAAATTCAATTACTTTTGGTGGGAGAGTAATCAAACTTTCAGTAGGGTAGTCAACACTTAGTGTTGACGTAATTTACAGGAAAAGTGTCTCTCAAAGAAAAAAATAAATTTTCGATAAAAACATTTATAATTATTCTTAAAGAAAATTCAACTACAACTTTAAATGGGAGAAAAAAACTTTTTCTATAAATCATTTTCGCTTCACCAAAACGACGCTAAAACTCACGTACAGCAATTTTGACTCCCAGCAAATTTCAAGAACAATTTTCTAGGAGTCATAGCCCCGAAAGCTCGGTGAGCTTACGGTGCTGTGAAAGGGGCTTCCACATTAACATGGCACAGAAACCCCACTAGGGTAAATCCGGGCCTGGATTAACAAATAACAGGGTATCAAAGTTTTTTTAATTTCCGTAATTTAAAACTCACAAATCAAAATAACGATGCAGAATAACCCAAGACTTAAAGCCAAAGCCAAGAATTTAATCTGGGCAATGTTACTGTTCGGATTTACTAAACCGACCTTACTAAACATAAATTACCGGAGTTGCTGAATTATCCTTACTATCCATGCAGAACTTTTTGTCTAAAAAAAAATTTAAAATTACGTTTTAGATAATTATTTAAAACTTTGTATTAATTGTTAACACTATAATAAATTTGTATATAACATGTAAAAAGTTATTTTAATTTAAAAAAATCTATAATTCAAAAAAAAAATAAAAAAGCAAATTCAAAAAGAAAAAGATTTTACTTATTGCAACTATAATATTAGCAGATTAACTCTATCGTTATAAACAGATTAAGCAATTTTGTTTTAAGTTTTGATAAAGTTTTAAGATTCTTAAGTAGCACATAAACATTTCAGACAAACACGTGCTCATAACTTTAACTTTTCCTAAGCAAGTATACACTGGGGCTATAACTGTATTTTTTAAATCAAAAATTCTGTTTTTACTTATATATGTGCATTAGAATTTAATTAAGGCTCATCGGGTTAACCCGTTTAAAAAGTAAAAAAAACTAATCCTCTTTTCAATACCTTTAAAAAAATATTTTACCCAGAGTCGCCAAAATTAGGAAGGGGGCAGGGTTGCTGTCCCAGGTGGCGTGGCCTGATTTTACTTCCCTCTCGGCGGTCCTAGTTTTACCTATTTTTAAATTTATAATCATACCGTATACAAAAAATAAACATCATGTATAAAGTAAAAACTCTAATTAATTTATTAAATATTATAATAATATTAATATTTTTTTGTTAGTTTTCACAACTTCTACCAATTTTATATTGTTTATAAAAAAAGTAAATAAAGCATTAGAAGTTTTTGTTTTGATGATATTAAAAGTTTAAAACATTAAAAGTTTTTGTTTTAATCGGGTTTTTTTGTATATGGTTTATGTAATAAACAAAATTATTTTGAACAAAGCATTGTGCTTATATAATTAAATTTGACTAAAGTAATTGTACTTAGATAGCAATAATTAAAATTTTGGCGACTAGGACAAGGAATTAAATAACAAATGCTGAGTCATTAGACCGGGTGAATAAAAATGAGCATTTGTTTTTTCTTAGTAATTGGTCATCTCTACGTGAATAAAAACAAATGCTGAGTCATCAACAGCAACCATTAAGTTTACTTACCTAGAAAAAAACTTGCCATAAGGTAACAACGTAAATTTTTTTACAAGGTTTACATATATTAAGTTAATTCAATTTTACAAGGATTACAGATTCAAAATTTTTTTAAAAACAAAGTTTTTTGCAATAAGTGTGCAATACAAATAAATGCAGTAAATGTTGGTCACATTTTTTGAGTAATTGCTTTTTACAATCACCGTTATAAAAAGCGTATTAAACTTTGAAGATAAGATCATTAGAGTTGATCAGTCACAAACTAAAGTAGTATTAAAAAAACAGTACAACTATTACACAAAGTGAATAAATGACGGTAAATATTTCAACCAAGCGTTACAATTTCATTAAACCAATAAAACCATGCCAACATCACAAAAAATTGTGTTCGCTAGAGATGTTAGTTAAGTCAGTTTTTAGGATTTGGAAAAACCACAAATTTGAGACTTTATTTTTCTATGTAGTTATACATTTTGTTTTTCAAATATTTACTTTTTTGAGGTTTGAATTTTTTAAAAAAAATTTATGCGATCCCATTTCGAACTACTGTATTAGTTAAAATTAAAGAGATCCATGGTTATTTAAAATTTGGTTTGTGAACTTGCTTTATTACTAAAAGTGTCTGTATAAAATTTAATATTTATTCAAGAATTCGAAAATCTTACTTAGAAAAACTTAAAAATACAGAAAAGTTATTTAAATTGAGGCTTTTTGAAAAAAGATGTTTCAAACATTTTTTGTAAATAAAGTAGAATTTTGCGTCCCTTATGTAATCTCGTGGATTCATGCAATTATAGAAGGTTTTGTTTCTTTTTTTCAATTTTAAGTCAAACCTCACAAAATGCAAAATGATATTGTCGGATGCTAAAGTCATTAATAAAGGCAAACATAACATAAATGCTAAACCATTAACAAAGGTAAGTTTAACGGTCCCTGATTTACCATCAGGGCTTGATTATGGGCCAAGTGCGTTGAAGGCTGCAGAGTTGGAGTGGGCCTATGATCTATTGCAACAAAATCACAAAATTTGTAAATTACAAAATATTTATTGTAAGGAGTTGTTTTTAATGTAATAAAAAATTGTAAAAATTAATCAAACTAAACAACCAAATTTATCATCAATAACACTATAAGCAGAGATTCTCTTATACAAGACTTATAATAGCTTGTTAATAATTGGAAGAAATGCGTGTTTTTTTAAACTTGTCCAAAGTTGTCAATCCGGCGTCAACATCATCTGCTTCTCCATCATGATAGTCCCAAAATCTGTCTCACCAAATTTGTCTTTTATACTCTTGCACACTTACGCACTGTTTTGATACAGAATTTGGCATTTATATTTTTTCACTTAATTGAGAAAAATTGTCTGGAACAAACGTTTTTAAGGGTTGTCACACCTTTTTGCCGTATTCAAATCTAGTTTTGAACCTTGAAGACATCTAATTTTTTATCAAATCTTTCTAAAATTATTGACCTTATTTTTACTATTAGTCCTGCTCTAATTTTTTCATACTTGAATTAAGTCTTTATGCTTCCAATCGCGTGTCAGCTTTTTCAGTTGTTGATTTAGACATACTGACAAGAATATGCTGAGTTGTTTTATATCCTTTCTGCAGTGCATCAGCTGCAACGTTGTGAGCACACCAATGTGTATCCGATATTTTTTTTAACATTATTATTCCAAAAGGAATAAAGCCAAATTAAAGTAGAATTCATTGGTGTGTTGAAATAGAAAAAACATAAATCGTTTATGACCAAAATCAAATAAATAAACTGCAACTGGGCAGCCCTTGACAGCTTTTAACCAACAAGATTTAAAGAATGTCTATAAAATGGAATATATTTAGCTACATTGTTTTCTTTGCGAATCTAGGCTTGCATACAATTGAATTTACCACTCATATTTGATGCTTTGTTATACGACTGTCTTCTACAGTTTGTAATGCTTATGCTATTTTTTTCTAAAAGTGAAAGTAGTATTTTTTACCAAGCTCTCACTCAGTGTTACGTTCAACTGGTCAGCTTACTATTACTATCAAATTATCAATGTTTACTGATCTGAATGTGAAACATGCAGACCAGTTAACAAACAAATTAAAAACTAGTGTTAAGTCTACTTAGGCAGAATACTATTTTTTATCTATTTTTTTTTTTTTTTTTGTATAACCACCCTACGGACATTTATTTTTCAAAGTTACGTTATAAATGTCTTTTAAACGTTTTTTAACTCTTTTAAACGTTCTGTATTTAAGAATGTTTAGAAGACGTTTAAAAGACATTTAAAATACATTTAGAACGTAACTTTTAAAAACAAATGCCCACTGGGCTGCCTCATTAAATAATTCTTATAATTAAAATAAATTGATGACAAATTGTTGATGACATATATGATACGCATCCTTTAAAAGTCTATAATATGATATTCTTTAAAAAAACTACAAAAATAACGAGGTATATTTTGCAATTTTGAGGTATTTTCAATAGTTTCTATAGATAGATATAGCAAAAAGCTATATATAGATATATCACAAAGAACTTCAAACTTATTAAAAAATGATATTTTTACTACAACCTAAACATGGTTTAACTTTAATAAGAATGACAATAAACATGGTTTAACTTTGAATGACAATTATATGTCTTTTTTATTGATGCACGTTCCAAAACTAATTTCTTAGAATTAGTTAAAAGCAAAAAACAAAAAATCTTTTTATGCTTTTTAT